CTTGCTAAGTTAAATTGTTCCCTCCACACTTGGGTCCCCTGTCTCTGTACCATATTGTCCCCTAACCCGTTTAATACCAACCTTTCCTACCATACTTGCGTGTTCGAAATCTTCAGTTTGCTGTGATCGCCTTCGGCAACGTTAATGGCATTTTACTCCGTCGCCCGCGCTCGAGAGGCATTAATTTCTCATCAGTTGTATTCAGTAAATTATTATATTAATTCGGCCTGTAGCATTTGCACTCAAAAGTGGTTCTTCATTGGATTCAGTATTCTTGAAAGGACGTTTAGTGTGTTAGTGATCTGCTACGCAACTTACTGACTTTCTGTAGCGACCGAGGATGTTGTGCAATAAGCACACGGTGTACGCGTCTATGCCACTGCACACTGTTATTTACAATGTTTCAAAAAGTAATGCAAATTATGTTGAATGCAACCGTTAAAAATAGCAACTAGCATATCCGTACACATGTGATTGAGAAGTCGTGTACATGCATAATTTGTACTTGTACTGAGAACCTAGACGTTATGTGGACTAAGGTAGTATCAGAATAAGAAGCACTTCGGGCACAAGAGGGATTCGTTTGAAGCGTAATTCCTGTATAGCTACAAATTTACCGGCAGTGCATAGAGAGCTTTCGGTCACTACAGGGTAGCGCGGGACGCGGTTTAGCTACGTCTTTTTCGAGAAAGTGTAGGGTACTGTCTATACAGGCTGGCGCGAGTCCACATCGGTCTCATTGTTGGTCGTAGTATAAAGGGAGTGAATTGGAAAGTTGTCGACACATTCAATCAGTCCTAGTTGGGGTGCTGAGCTTATTGTAGTCCTCAACCACAACGGAGTCGGCGGCTTTCGTGTTTCACATCCATTACATCGTGGATGTTCCCCCTTCATTTACCTCGCAGCGAAGTCGAACCTAATTACCTGCCAGCCCGAAGACTGCGACCCGGGTATGCGCTCGAAGTCATTCTTCCCTATTTCAAGTGGCGCTGTTGTCAATCCGGTCTTGTTTCGTGCCAGGTAATTTGTTAGTCGACTTTGCCCTGGGATCGGCGCTCGCTCGGGGTATGGCGGAGGACACGGTTAGATTTAGTTTCTAACTAACTGTATGATCGTTCACTGGAGACGCGACCGGAGGCCAACTCGAAAGATTGGGACGTGATCAATACCGATCGAATGCTTTTGAATTCATTGCGCGGGCCTCGTGTTGTCAATGTTGAAGTATTTTCTACGTGAGGAACTATACTTGCAGTTTCGTCCCCAGGCTGGGCTCCCGTGTATTCTGGGGGCTTCCTCGAAGTTGGACAAACGTCCAGTTTGCCGTGTGTTAGAGTTTATTTCAGACGTCAATGTCATCTGCAGTAACCGGTCTCATTATTTCGATCGTGAAAACCCGTGTAATCATTTTAGTCTCGGGCTGGCTTGTCGGCCTGGCCTCGGTTGTTTTCGCGCCCATCCGGGGTACGTTCCATCTTATATATTCCACTGAGATGGCAAGGCTATCAACGTCATCCGTATCTCTAATGCGCGACCCAGGACTTGTGGTAGTAATGGACTGTCTGTCATACCACGCTTATTTATGTATATGACCAGTTTTGGGATGCACATAGCCCTGACATACGTCGTGGGGGAAGTCAGGCAAGCCTCACCTCTCACCATTTAATTGGACTTTGGTTTTTATCCTTGGATCACACAAAGTAACTTTGAGGGCATGCTATCACTAACCGTGATGAGGTTGGTTCTGATCAGGTTGGTCTGTTGGTTGTGTTCTTCAATCAACAAGGGCCTCAGATGAAACAAAAGAGTTAATCCGCCATAAAACATCATCGCTGCTTATGCAACACAAAAGGTGTGAAACACTTGGCCGAAAAGAACAGAGAGCATTAAAAAGCCTTAAGGCGGATAAAGACATAGTCATTCTACCGGCTGACAAAGGTTGTTCCATAGTGTTGCTCAACAAATCTGAATACAAAAGAAAGCCCAGAGCCTACTGGACGATCAACAATCGTATAAGAAATGTCCAGCCAGTGAAGTGAAACATCTGCTTACTCAAATGAATAAAAGTTTGGCGAAACTCGAAGCAAACGGTGCAATCACGTCCAACGATTGGTTATCCATGAAACCAACAGACACAGCCCCAGCATCATTTTACGGTCTGTCGAAAGGGCACAAGGAGAACATACCACTTAGGCCAATCGTCTGCCTTTGTGGCACCCCTACATACGGTTTGGCAACATGGCTGTTTGCTCATCGTAAGTTCCTGACTGTAGGCTCGACAACAACCGTAACCTCTGCCAGACAATTACTTGAACGCATAAAACATTTGAAGTTAG